CAGGGACAGGAGGGGACGGGGGAAATGGGGACGGGGGAAATGGGGACAGGGAATGGGGACAAGAAGGGACAGGGACAGGAAAATGGGGACAGGGACAGGAGGGGACGGGGAAATGGGGAGAGGGAAATGGGGAGAGGGAAAAGGGAACAGGAACGGGGATGGGGACCGGGAAATGGGGACAGGAAGGAACAGGGACAGGGGAAATGAGGACAGGGGTGGCGATGGGGACAGGAAAATGGGGACAGAGGAAATGGGGACAGGGATGGGAAGGGGGAAATGGAGACGGGGAGTAGAGGAGTTGGGGACAGGGACAGGGGACAGAACTGGGGACAAGGACATCGGAAATGGGGACAGGGCTGGCAGGGGGACAGGGATGGGGACGGGGAACAGGGACAGGGCTGGGGAGGGGGCGGCAGGGGATGGGGGATCCGGGGCCGGGAATGGGATCCGGGGCCGGGAATGGGATCCGGGGCCGGGAATGGGATCCGGGGCCGGGAATGGGATCGGGGGCCGGGAAGGGGATCCGGGGCCGGGAATGGGACCCGGGGCCGGGAAGGGGATCCGGGGCCGGGAAGGGGATCCGGGGCCGGGAAGGGGATCCGGGGCCGGGAAGGGGATCCGGGGCCGGGAAGGGGATCCGGGGCCGGGAATGGGACCCGGGGCTCGCGGCCCTTCCCGCGGCCCCAAAGCCGCTCCTGCCCCGCGGCCTCCGGCTCTTCATTAATTCATTAATTAACGACGCTAAAACGGGCGGGGAGGGCGGCGGTTTTATTCTTTATTCCGGGCGGAGAACGGAAAAGAATCATCACAACAATAATCGTAATAATTTCGTCAAAAATCGCCTTTTGGTAGAAAGATTCCCCCCCTCTCCCCCCCCTTTTTTTTCCCCTCCTGTTTTATTTTATTTATTTTTTCGGCCGTAAATCTCCCGCTCGGTTTAAAAAAAAAAAAAATAATATTTTCCACCCTGAGCGTTTCGCGGCGCGCTCGTTAAGGTTTTTGTGGGTTTTTTTTCCCTCTCCTCTGGCACGAAACTGGGCTCGTAAAAAGGATTTTTGTGCCTCTCTCCCCGCGCTCCTGCTCGGTGACAAAACCGGGGGAAAACGACCCAAATCGGGGGAAGACGGAACAGAGGAAAAAACCCCAAAACCTCAGAAGCAGGGAAATATTAAAGAGCGAGATTTTAGCGGATCAGCAGCAATAATCGCTTCCAGATTTTTTTTTTTTTTTTTGGGGGGGTGGATAAGGCCGGGGGGATTTGGGGGAAAAACGGGACGAGGGCGACGAACGGTCTGGTCCTAATTAGGGCGATCGCGAGGCTCATTTAATTAAAGAAAGGCACCTCGGGCCCGGGTTTTTCTGATTAAACCCCGCTCGCTGCTCCTTGTCCTGCCCTCTCCTCAGCCTGGGAAGCGCCACGGGAGGAGGGGCCGGGATGGACCCGGATTTTCCTCCCCCGGGGCTTTTTTCACCTTTCTGAGCCTCCCTCCCATTAATTTATTTTTATTTTTTTAATAATTTCCCCCTCCCGCAGCAAAAGAAAAGGAGGGGGTGTCACGGATTTGCTTTTTTTGTCCTTTCCGCCCCCAAAATTGGCGATTTCTCGATGTCTTTTCCCTCCCCCCGCTCCTTGCCCTCACCCCGGATATTTAATTTGATTTTTTAATTATTTGCCCCCCCTCATTTCCAGCTCTGGATCAGCGGCCGCCTGTGCCAAGCTCCTCCATTCATCCCCAGCTTTTTTTTTTTTTTTTCCCTTTTTTTTCCTTTTTTTTTTTTTTCCCGAGCACATCCTTCGATCGCCCGCGGCCATAAATTAGCACAATTAATTATCGCAATCTCCAAATTGATGGCGCGCAGATCCCTTACCTCAGCGCTTTTTACCGCCGCGTTTGGGGCACGGAAAATGCAGGGGAAAAAAAAAAAAATTAAAAAACCCCTCGGGGATGCTCGGGCCGAGCCCCGGGGCTGCTTTTAAAGAAAAAGACACCTCCAAGGCCGGGTTTTTTTGCCGTTTTGTTGTTTTCGGGTGTTTTGTTTTTTTTTTTTTTTTTTAAGGTATATTTACAGAGCTGCTCTACAATAGGCAACAGAACAAATATTACAGAACGGGTCTGAGACGAGAATAAAATACACAAAATCGGTACAGCAGAAACGTTCAACACCGTGACAGAACATCAGCATCGGGAGCCCCCATTCCCTCCAGTCCTTTTTCTTTTTTTTTTTTGTAATTTTTTCCTCCTTTTCCCTCGTTTTTTTAAAATCCTTTTTCCTTTTTTTTTTTTTTTTGTACAAAATATTCACGCGGGATTAAAAAAAAAAATCGGGAAAAAAATCAAAATACTGGATGAAGTTTTAATTTAGGACATAAAATATAATAATAATAAAAAAGAGCAAAATAAAAATTCAAGTACTTCTCGTGCCGCTTTTGCTGAGGGCAGAGCAAGGCGGAAGAAAGGAAGAGAAAACCAAACCCTCCCCGGGCACCTTTAATTATTTTTTTTCCTGGTTTTAGTCGCATTTTAGAAAAGCCTCGAGTCCCCAAACCTCTACCGCTAAACATTCATCCGCACATTCAAAGTCAGAAACATTTCACCCCTTTTTTTATTATTATTTTCCCTTTTTTCCCCCTTTTTTCTGCTTTTTTTTTCGCTGTTTCTTTTTCCCTCTCCACCCTCGTTTCTCTCCGCCAAACTTTTTTTTTTTAAATTTATTATTTTTATAATTTTAAAATTATTATTATTATTATTATTGCTGTTCCTTATCGCTTTTCTCTTTATTCATTTTCTTCATTTTCATTCGCCTGTTCTGAAACCAGATTTTGACCTGGCGTTCCGTGAGGTTCAGCACCCGCGCCACTTCGTACCTCCGGTCCCGCGTGAGGTACATATTGAATAAAAACTCTTTTTCCAGTTCCAGGGTCTGATATTTTGTGTAAGGGCATCGTTTCTTCCTCGTGGAGCGCGCGTGAATCCAATTTGCCACGGGGTTGTCTGAGAAAGAAGATTTTTTTTATATATATATATATTTTTAAATTTTTTTTTTAATATTTTGTATTTTTTTATATTTTTTTGGGGGAAAACCAATGCTCAAAATTGGCTTTTTTTCTTATTAATTTCTCCCTCCCCCTTCCACGCCCTACAGCCAGAACCTGTTTAATTAGCAGCTCTTACCTAAATATTTTAAGTGACCTTCACAAGGGTTTAATCTGTTTATTTTGGAGGGGGTCACTTCCTTTTCTCTTTTCGCTGCCGATCTCACTTTTTTTTTTCTCTTTTTAAAAAAAACTTTAGTAAAAATAAAAATATGTATAACAATAATAATAATAATAAAATAAAACCAAAAGCGGCGCGCCGGGTTTAAAATAATAATTATAATAATAATAATAATAATAACGATCCACATGGCTGCTGCTGCTGCTGCTGCTGGCGGTAATCGAGGAACAAGTCATAAAAAGTCAAAATTCCCACCATTTCATAGGCCCATAAACTCTTTTTACAACCTCAGCTCGCCAAGACTTTCCCCAGAAGCTCTCCCGGACCTGCAAAGCCGCCTCGGCGTTTTTAATATCTCCGGGATGACACGCGGCGTGGCGCAAAAATCCCATTTTTGGGTTATTTTTGGCTTGTTTTGACGGTTTGGAAGTTAGTTTTCAGAGGGGTTTTCACGCCGCGGGCGCGGGGCCGCAGCCGCCCCCCGCGGGCGCGTTTTTGGGGTGCTTCGGGGCGCTTTTGGGGCAGCCTGGGGAGGTTTTGCAGCCCCGATCCCCCAGCCCGGGGGGCACCGGCCCGCCGGGCACGGGCAGAGCCGCGGGCGGCGGTGCCCGGGGCTGCCACCCCAGATGCCCCAAAATCGCCCCCAAATGGCCCAAAATCGCCCCCAAATCCCCCCAAAGCGCCCCCAAATCCCCCGCAAGCTCCCCGGCTCCCCTCGGCCGGGTTTTGGGGCGATTCCGGGCGATTTTCGCTCCCTGCGCAGCGGCCGTTACCTGCTCGCTGCCCCTGGGAACATTCGGGGTTTTGCTGATTCCTGCCTTGGGTTTTGGGGCTTTTTGGGGGTTTTGGGGTTTTTTTTTAAAGTTCTCCCCTCCCTGCTCAGCAGCTCCTGCGCTCGCCGCCTCCCGCCCCCTCGGCTGGCCCTAAAATCCCGGTTTTTCTCCTCATTCCTGCCGTGCCCCCTCGCCAGGCTTCACCTTTCCCTTCATTCCCACGTGGAGGAATTTTTTATTTTTCTTTCGGGGGGGGGATCATTCAGGAATAACCGCGCCGCCGGAGCTTTTATTGATTTTTCCAGGAGATAAAGGGGCGCCTCTGCGTTCACCCTGAGATGTTCCCTTCCCCTCCCTAAAATAAACAACAAAAAAAAGCCCCAAAATCCACCCCCACATCCGCGCGCTCGCTCCCAGGCATCCCCAAACTCTTCCTCGTTCCTGGAAAGTGGGAAGGAATTTTTGGGAGCCCAAGACGCTTCTCCCTGTGCTTCACCCCCACCTCGCACACGCACGCTCTTCCCCTCGAATTATTAATTATTATTATTATTATTATTGTTATTATCGGTTTAATTTAGAGTGGGGGGGTGGGGGGATCAAAGCAGCCCCGTCAGCGGAATAATTAAAAAACCAAAAAAGGGGAAAAATACAGAAGAATAAAAGGGGGGGTTCAAAATATTTAAAAAACCCCAAAGAGCCCGAACAAAGTGGGCTCGCCGAAACCCCCAGAACCTTCCTGCGGCTCTGGAGTTTTAGGGTCGCGCTCTGTCCCTCTCCTCTCTCTCTCTAAGGTAATTTCATTTTATTGAGTGGGGTCCTGGAAGCCGTAATGCCTTCCGCGGTCGTAAACAAGAATGACTTGGACTTACTGGGGTCTAATTCGTGCTTTTCTTCTTTGTGTTTGCCGGCAGCGATGGCCTCGGACTCGGGGGAGGACGGGATGTTCTGCGCCGCTCGCTCCCGCAGCTCCCCGGGAGCCGCGTACACGAAATCCGCGTAGGCGCGGCCGTCGGCGGGGCCGCACTCCGCGCGGCGCGGAGCCCCGAACGCGTCCGCCTTGAGGCCGTAGGGCCGAGCCCCGAAGGCCGGGAAGGACACGGCCCCGGCCAGCGGCTCCAGCCAGGTCCGCACGTACCTGGGCTCGCCCTGCGGCGCGTAGGGGCCCGCGGCGTGCGGGTGGGGGTAGCCCACCGAGGGCTGCGAGGGCACGGGCGCCCACGAGGTGGTGAACACGGCGGGTTTGGGGGCGAAACTGCACGAGGGGAAGTCGGCGCAGTCCGGCACCAGTCCTGCGGGGCGAGCGGCGCCGGGGCCGCCGAAGCGCGGGGCCAGCAGCTCCTCGTTGTCGGGGCCGATCAGCGAGTCCACGTAGTAGTTGCTGATGGGGCCCGAAGCCGACATGGTTCGCTCGCCCCCTCTTTTACATTCATCGGATTATTGTATGAAGTGTATGTGTACTTTTTATCTGCTCATAGAACAATCAGGGCAGGTAATTATTTTTTCAGCCGTTCCCACCGCGCCATTGGCTGCCGGCCTCACGTGATTGTATTTACCCAAAAATATCGCCCGGATCAATCCGCAGGGCTTTTTTTCGGCTTAAAAAAAAAAAAAAAAAAAAAAAGCGGCTGGAAACGGGGGCGGAGATGGGGAGGAGGAGGAGGAGGAGGAGGAGGAGGAGGATGCTCGCTCGGCGGCCGGGGATGCTCAGCCCCGCGGGCTGGGAGGGGGGAGATTCTGCCCGAGGCTGCGAGCGAGAGGCAGGGAAGGTGGAAGGTAATTGTGGAAGGTGGCCCAGGAACTATTTCTCGACGCAATTTGTCTCTGTCCCCTCTCCCCGCGCGGCTCCGGGGGGATTGAAGCGAATTTCGGGGAGGTGGGACCCCCGCCCGCGGCCGCGGAGGGGAGCGGAGGAGCCGAAAAGGGGGAAAAAAGCGGCTTTTGTCATCGTGGGCAGCGCTGCCTCCTCGCCAGGGCTGCTCCGGGATCCGCTCCGAGCCAGGAGCCTCCCCAGCAGCCAGAAAATGAAATTATGGACAATTCCGGGCGGCTTTAAAAGAAACCGGAGAGGGCGTATGATAACAACAATAATAATAATAGTAATAGTAATAATAATAATAATAAACCCCCTTCTCCATCCCCCCGAAAAAATTAAAAAAATCAAAACCTGGAAAGGGAAAGCTGAGCTTCCGCCAGGCAGAGGCTGCGGTGCCGGGCGAGGAGGAGCCGGGGATGTTTTTTATGTCCTTCAATAAAATTTTTACGAGGATCATTTGATTGTTCATAAACGTGTCGTTCATTAAATAAAAGCGCAGGACGGAGTTTGCAGCTCGGGGAGCTCGGGGGGGCACGGAGGAAGCAGCAACGCGTGCTGGGCACATCAGCTTTCTATTTTTATTTTTGCCTTTTTGAATTGTGGTTTTATTTTTTTTTTCTTTTATTTTGGGTGACGCCTGGAAACTTTTGGGTTCGGTATTTTTTTTTAAATTTTATTTTTTTCTTGTACCATGGCGAGCGGAGGAGTTGGGAGCGTTCAAAAACGCCCGGCTGCGTTTTGAGGGAATAACCTTGCTTTTGTAAGGAAAGACAGGTAGGTGAGGAGCTCCCGCCCAGAGCAGTCGCCAGAAAAGGGACCCGGGCCATTTCTTTGGAAGCAAAAAAAATTAAATAAAATCAGTTTTTTTAAAAAATTACATCTCAGCATTTTATTAAAAAAAAAAAAAAAAAACAAAAACACAACGCCTCTGATTAAAAAAAAAAAAAAAAAGTATTTTCTGCGTTCTGCATCCCCTCGGGTCTCCTGAAGCTGGGAGGGAAATGGGGAAATTTGGGGAGGAGAGGGAAAAATGAAGAGCGGGGGGGTGTCCCCAATGTCACCGCTCTGCTGGAGCCCCCCGCACCCAAAACCCCGCGATTTTCACCCATTTTCCCCCCGTTTGGGCTGCGCGAGGGACGCGAGCAGCAGCAGGAGAGGGCTGAGGAAAATCGAGGGGCAGGGACGGGGAAAAAAGCCCCAAATGAGCCCAAAACGAGCCCCAAATGAGCCCAAAACGAGCCCACAATGTGGAAAATCCTCCCCAGCGCAAACCTCGCACCTCACCCCGCGGAAAACCCCAAAAAATAAAGGAAGGGATGTCCCAGAGCTGCTGGAAAAACGGGATTTTCAGCTAAAACCACGAATTTCTGCCGGGAAACTCCGGATTTCTCCCCAAAAAAAGCCCTCGCCTCGCTGCCCCCCGCCAGAATTTCTCCCTGGCTCCGTTTTGAGGCTCCTGCGAGTCCTAAAAAAGGAAAATATTCCAGAGGGTCCGGGATCCTCCCTGGCCTTTCCCGAGCCCCGTTTGCCCGTTAATCCCCGGCCTCCTCTCGCCGGGATTTTCATCTCCACGAGGGGTAAAAAAAAATAAAAATACAAACATCCTCATTTTTCTTTTCTTTACCCCCGTTTTCCAAGCGGAGAGGAGCGTGGGGCACAACCCCCGCCCGGGATTTCCCGATTTCTGGGGAACATTTTGAGGAGGAATCCTCACAAAAGCGGCGGCGGGGAAGGGAGAGAGGGGAGGAAGGCGAAGGAGGAAGAGGGGGAAGGAGGCAGCGAGCCCGGCCGGGAGCTCGGGGAGGGTTTGGGAGCGGGGAAAAAACGGGAATCCCGCCGGGAATCGGGGAATCCCGCCGGGAATTGGGGAACCCCGCCGGGAACCGGCGCGGGGAGCGGCTCGGGGCGGATTTCGGAGCCCGGCGCGGCCCGGCAAGGTCACGGGATGGAGCCGGTGTCACACAAAGGCGCCGATTCCCGGGATTTCCACGTGGGAAAAGCGGGATTTATCCCCCCCGGAGCGCCGTGGGGAAGGGGCTTTTCCACAGAAATCCCCCCGGGTCTCGGCGGAGCGCGGGGCGCGGAGGAGGGAGCGGCACAAAGCGGCGACGCTTCACCTTCAAGCCTCGGCTGGGAGGCGGGGGACGCGGGTTTGGGGCTAAAAGCGGCGATTTTGGGGCTAAGGACAGGCTGAAAGCTCGGCTTGGGGCTAAAAACGCGCTTTAAAGCAGAGATTTGCCCCCCGAATCCCGCAGCAGGATGGGGAACCCCACAAAATTCACCGCGGTGGAACCCCCCCAAGAAAAATCCCCCCTCTCCCTATAAAATCCCTATAAAATCCTTATAAAGTCCCTATAAAATCTGTATTAAATCCCTATAAAATTTGGGTTTTGTCCAGAAATGAAGGAAAAACGTCGCCGTGGGAGGGGGCGAGGTTCTGGGGGGAGCCCCGGGGATGTTCCCCTCTCCCGGCTGGAATTGCGGCTCTGGGGTCCCGCGGTTTTGGGGGCGATTCCTGGGAATTGAGGGGGAAACCGGCGAACCCCGGATCCTTCCCTGCTCTGGAATCCGCGGGGGGGAAAAAAGAGAAAACTCCGACAGCGCCGAGCGAGCTGAGCTCAGGGTTTGGAGATTTATTATTTCCTGGCGGAGATAAAAAATTCGAATATAAAATAATAACAATAAATAATGGTAATAATAATAATAAAAATAAATAGGTGGGAGAGCGGAGATGCGGTTGCAGGAAATTCAGCCTTTGTCTGAGCCCCGTCTCGGCCACTTCTGGCACCTTTTTGGAGCTCAAATCCTGCCCTGGTGCCTCAAAAATGCTCCCGAGCCGGGATCTTCCCCCTCGCTCCCAAATCTGAGGAATTCTGCCCAGATTGGGAGGAGCGGGGACAAAAATATAACCCCAAGAAAAAGAAATTAAAATTTAATAAAAATAAAAATTAAAAAGGAAAGGAAAAAGCGCAGGAAGGAGAGGACAGGAAAATAAAAGGAATAAACCCGCTCGTGGCCAGGCTGGCGCTGCTTTTGGGGTTTTTTTTCCCCTTTTTAGCCATTTTTGGCATTTTTAAAAATCTCCTTTTTTGCAGAGGCAGCCGCAGCCGCCCCGGATTTGGGGGAAGGTTCGGAGATTTCCCCTTTGCCCAGGGGGGTCCCCAAACCCCTCGGGATCCCCGGGGGGCTCCGGGGAAGGGGGAATGCGGAGCGGGGGGACAAAATCCCCAAATCCCCAAATCCCCAAATCCCCGCGCGGAGCCGCGGTTCCATTCCCACAGTCAAGGTCGGATTTTCCCCGAAATCGGGATTTTCCCCCAAACCGGCGCTCGGGGAGGGCGGATCCGCCCGGAGCAGCCCCAGGGCCGCTTTTGCAACCTTCACCCCGAATAAAATTCCCTTTTCCTGCCTCTCTTTGTCCCTTTTCCGTCCCTTCCTCTCCTCCTGCCCAAGTTCTCGCTCGCTCCCTTTTGTTCCTCCTCCTCCCCTCCTTTCCTTAAAAACAAAACCAAAAAAGGGGGAAAAAATCGCCCGCAATGCACCAGAGGCTGCGGAATATTTGATTATCCCGGGGTTGTCTCTTGGAGTGAAGAAATGCGGGGGGAAAAAAATCAATTTCGGGCCATCCGCGGATCTCGCGCTGCGTTTCCCTCCCGGCTAAAACCCTTCGGAAAAACAAAACGACCAAAAATAAAGGAGGAAAAAAAAAAATCACATTTATTCCGCGGAAAACCTTCCCCGGGACAACAATTCCCCGCTGGAAACCATCGCGGGAACGGCACGGAGGTACCGAAATCCCCATTTTTCCGGGAAAATTCCGCTGCGGGGGTTTTTTACCTGCTCGGCGCCTCTCCCCCCCTCTCGGTCCCCCCCGTGTCCGAATTCCTCCAGCGCTGGAGCTACCGCGGGCGCGCAATAAATTCCGAGCCGCAATTAAAGCTCCCAACCACTCCTCTAAGCGCGTCCTGCTCTGGTTTTTCCCCCCCAAAAAAAACCCCCAAATTTCAGGTCTCCGCTCCGCGGACAATCCCCAGCACCCAGCCGCGCTGAGAGGCGGAAAATCCGCGTTTTCCTCCGCAGCATCGCTGGGGATTTTTAATTTTTTTAATTTTTTTTTTTTTTTTTATTTGGGGGGGTGCGGCGCGCGCGGCGGGTCAAGAGAAAGGGGGAAGGAAAAAAAAATATAAAATTACAAACCCCGCAAACATTAAAAAAAAATAAAATAAAATAAATAAATGAAAAGAGGAGCGCAGAACAAGCCTGAACCCAGAGAGGCGAGGCCAACAGCGCCTGGAGAAACATTTTTGGGTTCTTTCCGCCGCCGCGTTTATTCATTTATTAGGTTTGCGCCAGACAGGCTGTAATTAGCATAGATAACCACGGGCGCGAGTTGTGTCTGCGCCACCCCATTGTCTGCGCCCCCCCGGCCCCAAAGGTGTTGGGGCAGCGCCCGGTGCCCGCGGAGGAGACAAAACAACCCCAAAAACGCGGCGGGGGAGGGCGGGGGAAGGGCGGAGGCGGCTGCTGGATCCAGCCCGGCAGCTCCGGCCTGCTCCGCGCGCCGCTCGCCGCCCCAAAACGGCACTTTGGGGGGGTTTTATATATTTTTAAGGGTGTTTTTAGGGGTTTTTTGGGGTATTTAAAAAAAAAAAATTAAGGGTTTTTAAAGGTGTTTTTTTTTGGGTTGCTTTAGGGGTTTTAAAGTTTTTTTTTTGGGAGGGTTGGTTTAGGGGGTTTTAAGGGTTTCTTGA